GGGGGGGGGGGGGGCGTCCCGGGTGCGCGCCCCGCCCCCCCCGGCGGCTAAACCGCCTTCTCCAGGCCCCAGCAGTACGTGTTTCTTAGATTGTCCCGCTCACGGAGCGGCTTGTTGTTTGTTACTCCTGCTACCACAGAGAAGGGGACTCTGGGACACCTTGTGCCTCTGGGTTTTAAACTTTTGGTGGCAGGAGTCTCCTTTTTCTTCTTGCCTTAACATTTTTTCAGGTCTTAGCATATCTTAGGTTAAGAATAGGTGAGAGCCGCGTTGACTTTACTGTGTGTGACGTGAGCCTTGCTGGGACAAAGCTTCTTTCTGGGTGAAGCACCTTGTTGGGCTTGGGCCTTGGCACTAGCTGGCAAGAACCCAAACATGGTGTTTCCTCTCTCAAACTTACTAGTGTACAAAACACTACTCGGAGGCAGCCGCACAACATGGGCTTTCTCTGCTACTTTAGGGATCCCAAGACAAAAATTATGTTCTTAGGATCTATGGGCTACTTCCTGCATTTCCCTTTTGCTGCCAGCCCAGAGCCCAGGGTCGTGTGTGTCACTCAGTGACTCAGTAGGCTTCCCTTAAACGCTTTGTGTTGACATCCCTTCTTTTACGATTCATGTCAGTTCTTGAGGCCTGTTTTGCTGTCTCATATTGCTGTCTCATCAATAGCAGAGATGCTAGAGGTGCAGTTAGAGCTGCTGCAAGCAAGATCAGAACCTCTGTGGTGGTGAATATCCCTGTGTTGGGTCTTCAGTCCAGCACGTCAACCATTTAGTCTTCGTAGAGTGGGGGTTGCAGACCATGGACTTCGCAGCCAAGAACTGAACTTTGAAGTCAGCGGGAATGAGGGCTGCAGAATGGCTGTGCGTTGTGACTCCTGGGTTCTGTCTGCTGTGGTTCTGTCTACTGTGATATATTATTTTGTCTCCTGAGGAAATGAAGTTCTGTATTTTTTTCATTAAGAATAAGGTGATACTATGCCGCTTTGGTTGCGAGAGAGATCAGGTGTACAGCAGAGCAGGTGCAGCATATGCAAGGACCACCGTTTCCCCCCACGGAGGAATACAGGTCTATAAACAGCTTCAGAAGAGCTTTGTTAGGTCAGAGGGTGTAAGTGAAAGGAAGGGTACTTGAGTGTCAAACTCATAGGGTTTTTTATGCTGTTAGGTTTGCTGTGAACAATTTCTGCAGTAATTCTAGGATGTGCTTTTGTGCTGAGTCTTATTTTCAAGTTTTATTTAAACATCTCTATTACTGAGTGCTGCTTTTAGCCCTGCTCATCGGTGCCCTGGTGCTAGGAAGTTCAAGCATAGATAATACACCAAGTGGCGTTGCAAGTTTGTTATGTAGGAGCCTTGAGGTGTAGCTGGGGAGGTGAATCCTTTAATTACCTCTGATCTCATGGAGGGCTCACAATCTTCAGTTCTTTGAAGTAGATAGTGTGCCAGATCTTTTGGACAACACCTGAAAGCCAAGCACCTGTTTTCACTAGGTGTCAGCATCTTGGGACACTTGCAGTTTTGCTCCAGTAGGGTAGGCAGTTTTGGCAACAGATAAAGACAAGGACCTATCTCAGGAGGAGGGGACTGGGTATCTGTACATTCCCGAAAGAATCACCATGAATGCATGTATTGGAATGCAGTGCAGTTGTAAAATTTGTACTTAGCTTAACAAGAGTTGAATACTATCCAGGGCAGTTTGAGGGTTTTAAATAGCTGTGTCTTTTCTATACCACCCGCCCCTCATGCATGTCTCCAAGATGCATGTCTTGCAGTTGAGGGAGTAAGGTTTGTGGAGAGAGGCTGTATTTTATTGGACTATGTGATGCAAGCTGGGGAAGGGGTAGAGATAAGCTTCTGGGCACACAATCTTTCTTCCTGATAGTAATTCTAGATAGGAACCTGGTAGGCTGCTCACTGGAGGTTAAACTTGAGCTTAGTAGATATTCAAGCTAAATATCACTAGGTAAATAGGACGGTGATGAAGAAGATGGATAGCTGGACCTTCTTGATAACTCTTCTTGCTTAGTGATATGGGGCAAATCTTGAGGTTTGTCTAGCCTAGTTTTGAATCACTTGAGAGCTTCTGTTGCATGTTTTGGATAGCATTGCATGAGGTGAACACTTTGTTTTTTTCGTTTGTAAGAGGTTTTTGTGTGATAGAGTGTTTTGTGCAATACTACCCACAATTGAGAAAGCGAAGGCTGGAACCATTTATGGTAAATGTGCTTAATGAAATAACATGTGTGGTTCTAACATTATATCTTAAACTGATGGTCCCAGGGAGGCTGGCACAAGTTAAAAACTAGTCTAGGGAATATTTACTGTTTAGAACAAAGAACATCTCAGTACTAGTTTGATCATTTCTGCTGTTAATGGCTTTTGATAAGCCATCTGTTAATGCTTTGTAAATAGAGATAAATTTGAGCCTAATGTGTAAGATAGCTGTGAAACTTAACCCCCCCCCGCCCCAATTCCCCAGTTTCTTAAAGGGTGATTAACTTGAAAATGACACCATTTCTTTAAAATGCTGTTTCTGTTAGGTATATCTGAAGATTATTGTAACAAGATCAGAGGAACAGGCTTTAGCTTGCATGTGAAAAAACTGTTTGCATGGTCAGCTTGTCTGTAAGGATCTTTTATGCCAAAATAGGGAAGAGAGAAAATGTATAAGAAAATGGCTGCAAAACCCCAGCTATTTTAAGCATGGAAAGGAGAAACTGCAGTACCTGAAACTATTCAAATTATTTTATGAAGAGATCTACTTCTCACCTTGACTGTGCACCTTTAAAAATTGCCTGCTTTGTTTATGTCTGGACATGTACTTAGACTTAATCAACCTTAAATTGATTTGCTAATGTTGTCAAAAGAAGATATGGACGTAATCCCAGCTACTAGCTGTTATGCTGAAAGGCATATTCGCAACATTGACAGTCTCATATTTGCCCTCTCTGGTACATTCAGCCAGTCAGCAAGGTTCTTAACCTCTTTCTTAGTGTTAAAAATGTACCTTCTTCTTGAAATTAGCAGTAAGTGAATGGCTAATAAAATATTACCTTGCTGTTTTGGAAGTATGCTGTGGTTCTTGACAGCTGTCCTACAAGCCTCTCTCTGTCAGGCTGCCACTTGTTCTGTACAATCACATTAATTTTATGTACGATCCTGTAGTGCAACAAGACCTTGTGAGGGGGATGTTAAAAAGAGTTGCTGAAGAGTTTTGCTTCGCTCAGTCGTAAGAACTGCCCAAGCAAGAGTCAGGCCTTACGTTCATGATGTAAGGTTCATGGAGCGTTTCTGTTCAAAACCGTATGTCAGGAAAACATTGTTATCTCACAGAAGAATAATGGCTTAATAACTCCTTCTGTGACTAAACTTGAGCTGAGCAGTAGCATGAAGCCTTTGGGTTTTTTTGGTGAGACTAGGGCTACAACAGTAGTGTCTGGTGGCCTGAGTCTGTTTTGCCAGCTGTTGTGCAGGCTCAGTGAGAGCAGTCTCTGCCCTGAAGAGCTTGCTGCCTAAATAGACACGGTAAACAAGGGCTGGGAGGGGAAGCGGAGGCAGAGAGATGTGAACCAAGCTGCCCTCTGTGCAGCAGGTCAGTGTCAGAGCCAGGAATAGATGGTGGTGCTTTGAGCCCTCATCTTGTGCCTTACCCCCTGGACCACCTTGGACTGGAGAAATCGGAGAAGCAGAGGCTTGCTGCAAGGTGTTTTTTTATTTAAAGCATGGAAGAAAGGAATAAAGTTGCAGCTGGGCTAAACTTATTTCCTCTTTGCTACAAAGGAATTTTGGAAGATGAGTTAGACTCGCAACCTAAATAGCTTGACAGTGTGTTCTTTGTAATATATTAATAGTTGTTGTCAAAATATAGAAATGTTCCATGGCTTGTTCTCTCTCTCCCCATCTCCAGTCTTGCCTTGCCCACTGGGATCGTGCTGTATTCTCAAGTTCAGAAAAATAGGTTCCTTCATGAGTGAATTTATCATCTTTGAATATTTAAGAGCTTGTCAAAGCATTTCTATGAGTTAATAAAAACAGCATTTTTCTCTAGCTATTGGAAAAAAATGTATCTATTTATTTATATATATACATATGTGTATACACCTGCAGGAGCAGGAAATGGCCAATCTCTGTGAGTCAAGTCCAAATGCAAACGGCAGCAATTATAGGAGA